ATAACCCAATAACACTCGTTGATCAAAGTGTAGATTGAACTGGACCTCTCTTGAACTTATACTTCGAAATTAAAAGATTTTCGAAATACTAAGTTTATTTATTAATCATTAGAAGTTGTAAAGATGCAGTTTCACAACTCAAGCAGTTGAAACATAAAGATAACTTTGGTGAAATAAGACTTGTAGCTATCATTAGGAGTAAAGATACAGTCTCTCACCTCAAGCAGTTGTAACATAAACATGACTCAGGTGAAATGTGTACTTGGCAATTAGAACTCGTAGCATTTATAGTATTTCACACATTAAACAATTATAGCAACCATTCGAGATTGTAGTATATATATTATTTCACTTATAAGGAGTTGTAACAACAGTTGCAAATCATAGAAAGCACATAACATTGTAAATTTTTGAAACTTTGAGAAGGTTCGTCTTTAATCCCGAAAGCCTCGGTCTACTCTTCCTCATCGCAAGCTTACTAAACATCGAAAATATTCTTAAAACGCATTTACATCTTTACAGTACTTCTTTAACTATTATTAGTATACTAATACAACAAAATTCGTAGCTATTTTGATTGACTTTAAACTGTCTTGGATTACAAATGTTATAGTCAACACGACTCAAAGCAGTAAAATCATTCTTTATCTAAGAAAACTTAGTAGCGAAGAGCTGCCTCATCTTTCAGATACAATCTTTCACGGTAAAGAAATGTTTAGGTATTTGATGTAGTATAGATGTAAATACACGTGACCTATGTCAAAGAAGAATATCTTAAAATACAAACACTCCGAAAAAAGTATTTCCTCACTTTTCACACCTGTTTCTTACTCCATACGTAATCAAATATTCTTCGTTAATTATGGATAAAATGTTAAAATGAATTTTCTGTTTTCACAGCTGGCATGACTGTCATTTGTTTCTTTGTTTTTGTAAGACCATTTCTGTTAGCTGTTTTTATAAGAATAATTTTATGAGGTTAGTGAATCAGTTTGTGAAAAAATTTCTTACCACTTCCTTTTCGTTGTTTTTTACTGTTCTGTTCACTTTCCTGGAAAAGAAGGTAGAAATAGTGAGTAATAATTTACGACTATGTTAACAGCGAGAGTACCTAACTGATAAAACAATGCATTCTAATATATTTAAGTAATAACGGGAGAAAATAATATTTAGTCAATTGTATTCGTTATCGGGTTTTATTCTTGCTCTAAATAGGTAGTTTACTCTAATCAGAAGTTAGTATTAATTGTGTCTCGTCAACTTTCTTTCTTTCATTATATAGTTTAATTATCTTTAAGCATGGAGGAGAGCCTCGAGCTTCGTATTTTTACCTTTCATTTCAGCCTGTTTGATCTGCATAGGAGGAAAAGAAAGACAATATATTTAACTCTTTCCATTAACTAAATCCCTTCCCGTGTGATACGAATGTAAATAAAATATGGAATCACTTGTTTTCCACGTCAGAATTATAAATGTATTTCCCTGTTAAGTAGTTGCAGAGCATGACAGCATAAACAAATTATTAGCCATGATTTTTTTAGACACTGGTAGAAGGTTCAATGCTATCATTAACGATTTTTACGTCTTTGTACTGTCAATGAAAATAGGTCGTCGAAAAGTGAAGAAAAAAAGGAAATTCTTAGTTAGTAGCACATGACGTGGTTTTTACGACAACAAGATTTCCTTACTTTTACTTGTAATTTTTGTTTTTTATTTTATTTACTTTTGCCACGTAAAATTGTCTATAATAGAGTCGATAGACTCTATACGTACGGATGGCCAAGGTACTTAATAGACATAATACAAATATTCACGCTAATAAGCATCGATGATAGAGAGTTTTACTTTAAAAGATGATTGCCATTCACTTTCATTTGTTTTTCTACCGAACAAGCCGAGAAACAAGGCAAGAAACCATCGCTAAGATACGAAACCAGAAAGCGACCAACTCTCCAAGTTTTTAATCTTTCTTCTTCTTTTTCCAGTCGAGATAACTTTACAACTACTTTATCACTAACATCGGTTTAAATCTAAATATACTCTGTGTTTCTTGGCAGTACACAATGTCATCGTTTGGGCGTAATAACTAGTAGTAATTTTTAAAAAATCATAATTCTTGTGTAAACGATATTATCATAGCCCCTTGAAGTTATTTCTTTTACAAACATCTGGTGTTCCTTTAAAAAGCTTAAGGACAAGGTAAAACAGGAATTACAGCCAATAATAGATGAACGTTAAATAACTGTAACAAGTAGAATAGTCAATGTTTTGTACACTATACAATCGGTGTCTTTAGGAAGCCAACCCCTATATTATGTATGAAGTGAAGGAGTAAAAAATCGATATACATAATATTAAATTGTAGTGCACACATTCGTAGAATGCACTAACTTTCAGTCATGGGGGGAAACGTCACAAAAGAAGTGATGAAAAACATTTTGTAAATGTAAAATGATGTAGGGATGGCAGTGCCAAAAATAATGCAGACAAGAATATAAAAATGATACTGCTATACATAAATCATACCTACATGACTTTAAATATTAAAGTTTTTTGTTTATATAGATATAGTTAGCTAATTCTATAATCTTGTTAGATTGTTCTTCATTTCTTGGTAACCTGTGCATTTTGTTAGATTACCGCTAGAGGGTTGACTGGAGAAATAAAGTTCGATAGATACGGATTTCGTTCAGAATTTAATCTGAAACTGGTTGACCTCACCCATGAAGGACTTCAAGAGGTAGGAAAAGTTTTATATTTATACATTCCTTATTTTCTCAATGTAGTTTTTTTTCAAAATTTCCTTTTTGCTCAGATGGGGAACAAACTAAGCACCTATTTCTAGACATAGCAAATTGTAATTTTCTATGTGTTATCAACTATTATCTTCTTTATCAAACAAGCTACAAAACAATCAAGTTTTTCTGTTTGAAATAACTGTTGTTTCAATGAGAATTAAGTAAATTTATTATAAACTTGAATGGGCTAAAAGGTCAAGTTAAGGTTACTATCGTTTGGGGATGGACGTCTCCGGTTTTGAACTGTGGACTAGAGTATAATAAATGGTCGACTTATCTTAAACTGAATATTGGAATTGACTTGACTGTCATTCTTATAACACTCTCACAGGTGAAACTCGAAACACTGACCACTAGACGTCTCTCGAGTCTAAACATTAAAGAAGTTAAATAACAAACGAAAATATAAAATTTCCTAGCGCTTCTTCATAAACAATGATAATATACTTAAGTTGATGAAAGTTTTAAATGATTTTAAAGCGAACTTAGTAAGATTTTACTTTCCCATTATCCTGGCATGGCCTGGAGGCTTGGGCGCTTGATTGACAACCTGTGGATTGCGAGATCTAAACCCATTGCCGAACAGACTCGCCCTTTCAACCGTGGGGACCTAGTAATGTATCAATCAATCCCACTATTCGTTGGTAAAGAGTAGTCCAAGAGTTGGCGGTGGGTGTTATTGTTTAGCTGCCTTCACTCTTGTCTGGCACTTCTAAATTAGGGATGGTCAGCGCAGATGCCCCTCGAGTAGCTTTGCGTAAAATGCAACAAAAGAACAAAAGTTAGTTTTCTGTTAAAAGTTTAACTCCAATTTAATAATATAAATTTATGTCTACCAAATTCTGATGCGCCGGCATGGCCTGGTGGTTAAGGCACTGGACTCGCAATCTGAGGGTCGCGGGTTCGAATCCCTGTCACACCAAACATACTCGCCCTTTCACGGTAAGAGGCTGTCAAGTGGGTTGCATCCTTGACGTAAGAAACAGCTTTAGAAACGATGGCAGAGCAAGTTAACGGGTGCAAGGACTATGAGAAATGAAAGAAAGAAAAAAATTCTGATGCGGAAGTTTGTGCACACTCTACGTTTCTCTAGTTGAAAATAATTACTACGATAATTAAAAACACTCCAACTGTTTTTGCAACAAAAATTATTCAATTATAAATGTATTAAGTTATACAGCTCTTACCTCTTTCGAAGTTGTCACTGTATATATGGTTTTTAAACTTCGGTGAATTTTAATATTTCTGAAAGAAAAGTTCCCATATATAAATACAATAGAGGTAAACAAACATAAATTATATATATACGTACTCTTCTATATTTTATGTATTATATAGTACGCATGTATTATAAAATTTATTGTATCAGTATAGAAAATCACATCAGTATATCTTAAATCTTAGACAACTTTACTAGTGTATATATATATATATATATGAATATTGAATTAATCATATACAGTAGGGCCGATTCCTCTTCATATTCGAGTAATTTCTCAATCATTTACTTATATATGTTTTTGTTTCTACCCATATCATTATACGACAGTTGCATATATTTTGCTAGTTTCTTCTACTTTGTCAGGGAATGTTTTATCATTAGTTTCGTAACAAGTTTTCTCATACTCTATATTGGCGTATACTTAGTAAATGTTTGTTTGTAATTTCGCGCAAGCTACACGAGGGCTATCTGCGCTAGCCGTCCCTAATTTAGCAGTATAAGACTAGAGGGAAG